ATTTTGCACTTGACATGGCTTGTGCTTCCAACACTGTAGATGCTTGCATTATGCATTATAAGGTGCCGAGTTATCCATCGCTCCCCAAAACCAACGCTAGGATTTCTGAATGTTTTATAAACTCACTCAAGTTGCCAGTGAGAACTTCTGCCATCTTCATGAGACGCAGATGACGTATTATTTTGCTGTGAGTAGATTTATATAAGATATTTGAGGGTCAGCCAATAAATAAACACAGTAATTTTGTTTTGAAATGCCAAATACAAACAGGTAATTTTTATTTTTCTACTTTCTAGTCTATTCTAAAACTTCCGTTAATTTTTCCTTCTCTCTAACGTCTATCTTCTTCTCACTGCATCATTTTCGTACCTTTGTCGCCATTAAAACTATTTCTAAAATGTGATGAGAAGCATTTGTAAAGTAAATCATACTTGAACTTATCGTCGTTGTTGAGAACTTGTTCAGTCAAGCACGAAACACGTGGCAATGTACAGCTTTAACGTGATATCACGTAACAAATTGCCTGTTATTATAAAACAGCTAGACACAGCATTCAAATATTTACCTACTCATTCCTTCGATGACCAGTCTATTCTCATACACGACGGAGTATACCAGGCGTCTCGTGAAAAATGGCTTCTGTAATTTTTTTTTAATTTCCTCATAAACGTCGCTGGGACACTTTTACTTTTAGGGATTCTCTTAATAAATACATAATTTTTTTGTTATGTGCGTGGAATTTTGGAGGGACACCAAGCTGTTAGGAAGTCGACAGAAGTACACCATCGGTTAGTCCACTGTTGTTCGCCAAACGTACACGCCTTACCGTTTTCCATTGTTTGTCTGACGTCACATCCTGCCACTCAACAAATGACTGTCACAGGCGTAAATCGACGGCCCACTCAGAGTATCTTTGGTGTAATTTGTACGAATTTTATTTTTTCTTGTTCGGCAGACTTTTTTAAACCGTAAACATACTTTTTTTTTCTGTTCAGAGCCAACGAACGTCGTTATTTTGATTACTACCACTGGACTAGTAGCGGCGCTGCTGAAGCGGGAACATGTGGTACTACAACTAACAAAAGCCAAACTTAACTTCGTTTCCAATAGAAGTGATGTAATGTACTTTATCAGCACTGAAATTTGTGATGTAATTACTCGTATTAGGCATAAAGGATATGCAGGAACCACAAACTTGTAATCTTCATGTTGTTGGTTTTAAATTTTACTTAAAACGATTAAAGATTATATTAGCTTTTATTTTAAAATTCTGTCGCTTGTAACCTGTGTAGATTTTAAAGAGAGTATAAACCTTTCCTCCGACTTATTTAGTCTTTTTAAACTATTTATTAAAATGTAGAAAATAAATATACCAAATTTAAATTTTTCTAAACTATGAATTTCTCTCATATTTAGAATTTTTATAAATAATAATGAGTAAGGTAAAGAAAATTTAAGGTCTAAACATTTCGGGTTTAGTTATGAAACGAACGATTAACAAACGTAAATTAATTACAAACTTTGAGCGAATATGGTCGGCCGACTCATGGAAAAAATTATGTATTTTTTTTTAATGCAGTCCGCTTGATATAAAGCGGATAGTTACGTGGGTGTTGGAGTCGTCTGCGCATCAACACACGCGCATTGCCGCTACGTGTTTCACGAACAAACCAGTTCGTTATTCGTCTTTCAAAATTTCCCCACTCTAGCTTGTACCTGTAGACGTGTATGAATGAGATTACACCTTTGAGAAATCATTACAGTATTATGAGTGTTTATTTCTAGTGGCAGGACTGGATTTACAAACGCGATAAGTCTGCATAAAGAATTAGAGGACTTTTAGTTAATCAACTGACACTGTATTTTTAAATGTCCACACGCAAGTTACATGAAGGAGCATTGCCTGACAAATATATAAGCCCGTCAGACTTTAAATTACAATTGTTATTAATATTTAATGAGCTTATGTATAATTTATCATTACTTTAAATAACTAAGTAGTTCACGTTGGCTCCCATAAGGGTCACCAGTAGGTCACAGTACAAAATTTTTCAGACAAAAATCTCTTGAAGACAGCGCGTTAAGTGATAAATTATATTTATACTGGTCCAAGTTTAACATAAGAGGCGTATATTGACCCAGACGTTACAACAGAAACTTAGAGAATGATTAATAAAGGAATAACTGGCTATCGTCCTGATGATGGAGGCAGAAATTACCTCCGAAACGTTGATAAACTTTTGTCAGAGTACATGACGCAACAACACGAAGACAGCCAACTTCAAAGTTCCAGCTCAATCGGCAATTGTGGTTCATGCGTTAAAATTGTGTGTGAAAGTGCGTTCTGTGTATCACATAATGCTGTTGTTTCCGTCTGTGTTAGCTTTGTCCAGTCTGTGATGTTATTATAGTTCTGTTTTCACTCACCTCTTCGCAGCGCCATCTTGAGTTTCTCTACGTGTCTGCTAAGGGGAGAGGGCGATTGATGGTAGTGGCTTCTTTTCATTCTTAACCATACATATCATCCCTCACTTTCGTTTGTTTTCTTCTTACACCTTCGTTTGTGTGCTACATTCATCAAGATGCCTTACAGTAGTAGGTAGCTATCACAAACAACGCGCTCTGAAAAATAGAAGCTTTCAACATAACCTCACTCTCTTATCTGCTGTACCTTTATGTCTAAACACAGACGTGTTTTTTTTTATAAATGTACTATTTTAAATACTACAGTCATGTAGATATTATGTTTAATTATTTATTAGATTATTTAATGACTCTGTATTAAATAATCGAATATTTTTAACTTATCGATAAAGAACAGTCAATATAATTTTTTGTCCTTAAGTTTTCGTGGCTGGATGAGTAACTTTGGGTTACGGTGGTGAGCCGAGTTGAATGTTGGGAATTATACAGTTCGACAAGCATTACATTTATCATCTTCAGGTGAATAAAAAGTTGTTGGACGTTATTAGAAGCCTTGTATAGAACAGGGATTAATTTGTGATTTTGTTAAATGGTGACGATTTGTAGAGCAGGTCTAGCTGTTATCCTCAACATGCTTTGGAAGTGTACATGTTTACGATTTCTACTACTCGAATTTATTCGTAACCAGTAATCGACTACAAATAAATTAATTTAACTGGCATAGAAATGTATTAATTTCTATCCTGTAATGCTTGTCCGTTGTTAGAGATTACTTGGTTTTAAGT